TTTGGGGTTTGGTGTCTCAGTTTGGGGTGGGGATTTTGGTGTTTCGGTTTTGGGGTTTGGGGGGTGGGTGTCTCGGTTTGGGGTGGGGGCTTGGGGGTTTGGCATCTCGGTTTTGGGGTGGGGGTTTGGGGGCTGCTGTCTCGGTTTTGGGGTTCGGTGTCTCAGTTTTGGGGGTTTGGGGGATTTGGTGTCTCGGTTTTGGGGTGGGGGTTTGGGGGTTCGGTGTCTCGGTTTTGGGGTTTGATGTCTCGGGTTTGGGGGTTTGGAAGGTTTGGAGTCTCGTTTTTGGGGGTGGGGGAGTTTGACGTCTCGGTTTTGGGGTTCGGTGTCTCAGTTTTGGGGGTTTGGGGGGTTTGGTGTCTCGGTTTGGGGTCTCGGTTTTGGGGTGGGGGTTTGGGTGGTTGGTGTCTCGGTTTTGGGGTTCGGTGTCTCAGTTTTGGGGGTTTGGGGGGTTTGGTGTCTCGGTTTGGAGTCTCGTTTTTGGGGATGGGGGGGTTTGACGTCTCGGTTTTGGGGTGCCCATCCCCGGACCCCGCGGGGTTTGCCGAGTTCAGGAGGGGTCTGGGGTCCTCTCCCCCTGCCCAGACCCCCCACCCGGAGCAGCTGGGCCCCCAGACCGGCTCCTCGGACACGCTGGACCTGATCAGCTCCAAGGAACTCGCCAGCCACATCACGGACTACGACTGGAACCTGTTCAAGAGCATCCACCAGGTGTGGGACCGCGGGGGTTCGGGGGTGCGGGGGTTCGGGGTTCGAGGATTTGGGAATTTGGGGGTTCGGGAGTTTGGGGATTTGGGGTTTGGAGATTTGGGGGTTTGAGAGTTCGGGGTTTGGGGATTCGGGGATTTGGGAGTTCGGGGATTTGGGGGTTCGGGGATTCGGGGATTTGGGGTTTGGAAGTTCGGGGTTCAGGGATTTGGGGATTCGGGAGTTCGGGGTTTGGGGATTCGGGGATTTGGGGGTTTTGGGGATTTAGGGGTTTGAGAGTTTGGGATTTGGGGGCTCGAGGAGTTATTTGGGGGTTCGGGGGGTGGGGACAGCCCTCACC